ATATATATTTTTATATATTTATAGCTTCATGAGTTTGTTACTGATCAATAATGACCAGTTTTAATGTCAAGATAATTTTATGTTATTTTTTATTTTCCTTTCAAAAAAGTTTTAGAACAGTCACAATAATTTCCTCAGTGATAATTGTGATTACTTTTGAGATTACTCTTGAGAAGATTAGAGAAGGTGGTTGAAGAAATAGAGCATGTTTAGATAAAATATTCAATGCTTAAGAAATGTTTGATTTGTCAGTAGTAAAAAAAAACCATTTTCAACCATCATTTTTCTTCATGATGTAGAGTGTTGGCATAGGAGATACATTGATACATCACTAGTGTAGGATTCATGACAAGGCAGTAGGTAAAATGTTTTGCTTATGTTCTGTTTGTTGCCAAACTTGACAAGAGGCAAGTATAAACTGTCAAATACCAATTTAGCTGGGATTTTTTATCACGTGAAGTCTGGAGTGTAGGTTGTTTGCGTTTGTTGATTTTGCAACTTCTCCTTTAACTCAGGAGTTAGAGACTTTGTAAATTGAAGTGTCCTGGGTTCAGTGCAGTAGCTGTGCATGGAAATGAAAAGTTTCTGAAGGGCCAAGGTGCTCAAGCTGAGCTTCCCTCGCTGGATAAGTAGCACTCATGAGCTCTGTACGGGTAACTTTCCGTTTAGTATGGAAACGATGGTCACGTGAGGAACATTCCAGGGGTTCTGGACTTTGTTAGCATGAGTAGCTGCTGTTTAAATTGAAGATTCATGGTGATTACTTAAAAGACAAGGGCCTTCTTGTGATAGACTGTCTGGCTTTTAGAGATCCTGTGTGATGAGCAACTGTTAGGTAGTGTATTCAGAGACTGAAGATAACAGATGCTTAGGATAGCAAGCAGTTATTATAGTGTTGAGCTGGAAAGCAGGTTAACTTCTTCATCTTCTCAGCACTTGAAAAATATTGCGGTTAGTATCGCGTACTATAGTTTGCTGGGCATTGTGTGGGAGCCAGGGCCAGTAGCCATTCCATCAGCCACCCCAGCCCCTCCTCCTGGGACCTTTTCCTCCAGTACTGCTCTTTCCCAGCAGACAGACGGGCTTCACGCTCACGAGGTGCGTTGGCAGCAAGGGCCACGAGTACAGTTTGCATTTCTCTAGTGTGTCAGGTGGGTCTGTCACAGGACATATCATAATCTGTGACAATAACGTATTTGATGCTGATGATGCACATGGATACTTATAGATGTAAATTTAAAAAGTATCTTGCATTTAGAGAGAAAGGAGCAGGAGCACTAGCTTTTGCTGCTGATGTTAAACACATCCCCGTTCACCAAATGGGAGGTCGTGTTCTGTCTTGGAAGATGAGCAAGAACACATTTCTTCATAAACTCATTTATATTTGGCAGATGACCTTGCTAGTTACAGAAAATTGATCCTTAAACTGATTTTGCCCTATCACAATCTCTGTGTCCTTGAGAAAGTTTGCTGTAGTCAGAAATAACCGTAATTCCTTTGAAGGGAGGCTGATTTTTGGTGTTTTTTTTTTAAAAGCATTTGTGCCACGACTTGTTTTCCACCTCTCAAATTGACTGTTCTGTTTAGGGGAAATGAGTCGGTTTGTAGGAATGGGGTACATGTGCTAAGAGAATTAGCCAAGAGAATGGATTTGGAGATTCAGGTTTAAAGAGCTTCACTTTATTTATTTATTTTAAATGTAGTGCAGAAAATGAAAACAACCTAGTACTCTTTTACACTTCTGTGAAATTTACTGCATTGTAATTTCAATTATTACAGTAACTCTCTGCTTTACCTGCACTTTATAAGTTAATTATACGCTGCTTGAATATATTTTTTCTCTTAATCGCTTGTTTTGGCTATTGCTCATATTAAACATCTTTGCTAATGCATGAACAACTGTGAACTTAATCACATAGCAACTCTCACTGGTTTGGATTAGGTAAAGAATACTGCATGATTAAAAACTCTCCTGTTAAGTGTATGGATATCTCTGTGTACCTGTACATCCAGTGTTTGTGCTTGAGACTTCCTGTAGCCACAGGGGCAGAAGTGGTAAGGACACCAGCTGAAACAGATGGTATCCACGTGACCTGTGGTACTGTATTTGTCATGTTGCGTTGAGTTGACTTATCTTTAAATTGGGTGAAACCTCACTGGAAGGCAAACTTCGTATGTGAACATTCAAATTACAACACCAAACCCCATTTCTAGTTAACCAAAAGAACTGCGTTCTGTTCTTAAATTTACACCTTTTTTTTTCCCCCCTCTGGCTTTGTTTTGTTTTAATTTTATTTCTATTTTTTTTAGTGAGTGACAGTTGCTTCAGGAACCTTGCGGAGGATCGTAGTGGAATAAACCTTAAAGATCTGGTCCAAGACCCTTCTTTGTGAGTATCTGGCTCTTATTGCTAAGCAAAGAAAAGCTTCTTCATGATTTCCTTGTGAGTAGTTTTGCAATTATATAAAGAAGTAGTATGGTGAAATACTCTTAGTGCTTTAATGTGCTCGCCACTTTGCTAGATTTCAATGCAGACAAATATTATTGAAACCACATTGTTTTTTATGTACTTCTGTTTGTGAACTAACATCCTTTGAGCTCATACCACAAAGGGTACAAGAGTCATCAGAGGCTGTGCATGCTGGTAGTTCTGTGGAGGAGTTATACGCACGTTGCCGTCCCTCTTTGAGGAGGAAATGCATACAAATCAGGAGATGTCTATAATTATGTTATCAGTTACTTTAATATGTAAAATTTTTTTTCTTTCTGTCTGATTTCATACAGATGATATTTATTCTTCTACTACCTGTTTTAATTCAAGTATACGAGCAGATAATCTAATTTTTACTTTATGGCAAGGTTAGTGGTCTTCATGTCAGTGTTATATTTTCCTCTAAATTGAAATTCAACCTCAGGAGCTCTGAGCCAAACTTGAAATTGTATCACACCTTTTTGTGTGGGTGTTATTTTTTTTTTCCCCTGTCTTTTTTTCCCCTTTTTTTTTCTCTTTTTTGTTTTTCCTCTTCAGTTAACTTTAGTACTAGCTGAAAATGTTGTTTTTTTAGATTAAAAATTTTTAATTTTTTTTTTAAATGTAAGTGTTGTTGCTAGTCTGCTCAAGTGTAGCAGTTCATATGAGGGAAGGGAAAAATTCACATCTTTTTAACACAAAAAATAGTGCATTCCACAGTGGGTCCTAACATGATGGGCCTTTGCACTGGCAGAGCTCAAGCTTTTCAGTATTAGTTGAGAAGCTGGAAGTTAAGGTGTATTTGACATCTCAGTTACAGGGGATTTTTAGTAATGAAGTAGATTCTGAATTTATTTTGTCATGTTGCTACAGGTAAATGACATATATCCATATATACATGCATTCTTGGGAAATTTTGACATAATGTATGCAATATTTCATAATTTATACTTCTAAAATGACAGGGTGCAGAGGACAAGTATAATTGTTGCTTGAGATTTCACAGTATGAATGCAATAGGTAAATTTTTAATAACTGCTGAGTGTCAAAGTCAAGGCTATTTCAAAGGTCTTAATTTTTAACCAAAATTTACCTTTTGCGTGTTTGGGTTTATTTTTGAGAATTGTATGTGGTTTTTTGAGCTGCAGGTATGCTTACAAATCTATACATATTCTTGGTTTTGCACCTCTGGAGTTTGCTTTCAGAAAGGATTAATTACCATCGGTGTAGAATGATAATTTTCCGTACTATTTACCAGAAGAGATGAAATCTTATGGTTTACTTCTCTGACTGTAATTTACATGAAGATTGCGATAAATTATTGTAATCTGCAAAATAAATGAAAATTATTTCTGTTGCTTATAGCATAAGCATAGTGACTGCAACAAAGCCTGTTTTTTTTTTTTCACTTTGAAAGATTGAATAAAGTCTCTAAACATCCATTAGGTCTCAAGGACTGTGTATGACACTTGTGCTGTGCGACAGATTATAGTGCAAGAAAAGTCTGCTTCTTCCTGCTTGATGATAGGAACAGTTAGACTTTGTTTTGTCTTTCCAAATAGATGTTCTTGCGGTTTTAGGACCTTTAATAGTTCTTGCAAAATATTGAATAGTGTGAGTGAATCTCCAAAATGAAAAAACAATCTAAGGCTGTATTGTTCAGGCCAGCCTTTTGTAGGTCTGAGGTCCCATGGCATCTGATTTCTTCACTGTGCAAAGAGAAATGCAAAGGACAGTGTGGGGCCAAAGCACGAGCGTGCAAGCCAAAGAGATATTTTAACCCTTTTAAAAATAAGAATAAAGGTAAACTAAAAACTTTAGAGTACTTGGCTAAGATTTTCACCTGTAATGGTATCTGAAATAGCAAAATAACGTTTGATTCATCCATCCAATTTAGTGATTGTGGTTTAGGGTGTGTGAAATGAGCCCTCATTCTTGGGTTTTGAAGACTACAATGCCCGGATTATGACAAGGGTTTCTTTGGTTTGCGCTGACTGTAGACAAACCACCTCTTTTCTTTGTAATCTACTATCAGATATCAACATCAGATTTACATAAAAAAAAACTCTGATGCTTTCTTTGCAAAAGGCTCTGTCACTGTAAAGGTTTGCAGTGCTTTTCTAATGTATGACACTAACAAAATAGTTTAACCAAAAGAGTGCAAGAGTTTCCACGTTCATTAGTGTATAAATAGATAAGCAGTGTGTACTTTTAACAGAAGTTCACACTAATAACAAGTGATGGGTTGGCAGCAGAGGTAGAAATCCAGTGTAATACACCAAGAGGGTAGTATAAAAAAAAGTTTAAGTGATTTTAGATTAGGATGGTTTGATACATTATGTAAAATGCATTTTAAATGGTGTGAGGCTCTTGTGAGCCTTAGCTACTTTGTACAGTTTTCTAAGCTACATTGGCATCTCCTTGTTTGCTGCTCTCTGCGCCATCACAGACAACTTCCCTTTTGTTATTGCAGAAGGCTTTTTCTTGAGCGCTGAAAGTGTGTCTTCACATTGAAAACAAACTCTTTAAAGACGGCATTGTAGGGCTTTTTGATCAGTGTTTGACTTGTATCAAGTGTGCCTCATTGTCTCAGTCTTTTTTTCCCCAATTGATTTCCCAGCTAGAGTAGTCAGGACTCTGTAAACTTCATCTGCTTGTAGTTCTCTCATGATTAGTAATAAAAGCTCTGATGCTCAATTCAGGAGTTTGATAATCTCTTTCAATTTATATATGGTTTACTCTGTCAATGAAAATAGAAGTGCTGCTTAAGAAAAAAGCCCAAGTGTATCAACCATAAAGTGAAGAGTTACCGACAGACTGTGGAAAAGGGAAGTATGCAACAACTTTAAAGTTAAATTTCATTTTGTAATTAATTACAGAAAAGTTGAGTTTGAACAAAAAGTTGATCAGAGATTCACCTGAAAAGGGTGTTTGTCCTTTCTGGGGTTTGCTCATTGTTTGAAAATCAGTAGCATTTTGTGTCTTGCTGAAGGTTACAAATCACACATGATGATGAAAACAGTTGTCTCCATCTCCCCTTTGTGCAGCCTTTCTGGTTTTTCACTGCGTGTTATAATACATGAATGCCATGGCTGTTTGTTTTTTTTATTATTTAACTGCCAGTCTCAGTGATGCAGCATAGGGAGGAAATGTTTCTTCTGTAATCCTATCCACTATTATCTTGGTTTTACAGTCCATTATTTGACTGCATCAGCAGATGTCTTCCCTAATAGGCTTGGCTTACAAAAATGCTTCTCTTGCCTTTTTGTCTTCTGTTAGTGAGCTCGTCTGTAAGCATCTAGTGATTTAATCAGGTGATCTTTGTCAGGACAAAGATGAAGACTTCCTTTTTATCAGGAGTCAAATGGAAAAGGTGATGGGTACAAGATGGTCTTGGAGAGATTCCAGTTAAATGCAAGAGGAAGATTTTTCACGAGAGCAATCAGCCCTTGGTATAATCTCCTCAGGGAAGTGGTAGAGTCTCCAGCATTGGACACTCACTCTTAAGATTCAGCTGGACAGGGTGTTAGGCACCGTCTTATCTAGGCTGTTCTTCTCCCAAGAAAGGTTGGATCAGATGAGTCCAGAGGTCCCTTTTAACCTGGTATCCTATGATTCTGTGAACTGGAGGACACCCTATGGTAGCCCAGAGTGCTCTGTCTTGCAAAGGAGCAGTACTGAGTTGCAGAGAACGTGCAGCCTATCTCAAGTATGGCTTCTAATGAAAAATTTCTATTTGGCAAACTTCCAAAGATCTGACAGCTACCTAAAGTAATTGATGATGATGAATCTGATCTAATAAGCACTTCTTAAAGTTGATACAAATAGAATTGACCTCATGCTACCCTGATGGTTTCCAGTTGGTTTGGGGGAATGAGTGAGACAAGCCTTTATCTGCTTCAACTGAAAGCACAGTTTGCATGTGCCTGAAAGAGGCTCTCTGTTTAGGCATACTCATTATCCAAGCAAAATCTGCTTTTCACCTTTGTTGAATACCTTCTCCATTACTTGTGCTTCAAGAAAAAAATTCTCTCAACGTACGATTCCTTGGCAACTTGTAGCAAAAATTGCTAATATTACATGCGTTTTTCTTTGGCTGGTTAGGCTTAATGACTCATAAACCTGTAGAAACAACTTCATCTGTCTGAAGCAAAACCTCAGCTGCAGTCTGGCAAAGCAGAACATAAGAAAATGTCTTTCCTAAGCACTTGATAATTTGCAACTCTAATAATTTTTTTTAACTTTTGGCCCAAAGCAGCCTCCTGTAGCCTCTTTGCAGCTCCACATCAGCTTTATCTACCAATAGTAGTTACATTCAGAGCAAGATTGTCTTCCCTGATGGTACAGTTTTCAAATTTTTGGAAGGAATGCTCTTCCTTTTGCTCTTAGAATGCCCTGCAATTAAGACATCTATGAGCTAATCAAGTAACTGAAAAGGTTGGTCTGGAACTAGAGACTGTGCAGCCCCCCTGCTGTGTCTGGGCTGGTGAGTGTTGCTGAGGGGAAAGGGTTGTTCACGAGCATAGCAGCTGCAGCTTGGGTGCTTCATCTTGCTTTTCAGTTCTAGTACTGGTTTTGGAATGAGTTCTAGTACTTTCCTGCAGTGCATGGATGCACTGCGTGAAGCCTGTGAGCCAGAAACCTCTATCTAAACATGTTCAAGGAACTTCTACACTTAATGGGATCTGTAACCAAGGATTGTTATTAGAAAGTTTTAAATTTAATAGATTTGAGACACACTCTTTTATGGAGCTGTCTAAATAAATATTGTTTTCTCTGGCTTGTTCTAGAACTAACAGTTATAAATGGATAATATGGTGTTTGTTGGAATAAAACATCATTGTTTATGGAAATTTACTAGATCCTTTATTTTCAGGGTTAGAGTTTGTTGTTTGTATGTGATGTACTTAAACTTTCAT